AAAAAAAGGCTGTTGCCGGTACAGTACTCCGGGAATTCTGAAAATTGGTAATCTTATGGATTTCGAGGTGCTTTTTACGAAAATCAACTTTGCCACCTCAAATTTGAACGGCAAGTTGCCGCTATATTGGAAAAATGGCGTTAAACAACAGCTTTTTTAAAATATTTCCTTTCTGGCTGATTCTACGATAAAAGTGTCTATGTACGAATAAAACTAGATAAAATTTCCTACAATTCTTTAGAAAACCGTTTTTTTGTAAAATTGATGGTTTGAGAGTATGGCCGCCTCAAAGTCTTTGCTGCTCTCGCCGTAGTGTCAAATCTCTCCATATATGACAGCATTTTGAACTTGACCACATTCTTTCTAATAAATAAATATTTTCAATGTTAAATTAAGCGAATAAGATCTAGAAATAAAATAATTCAAATATTTTTCTGTTTTTTAGCTGATTTTTTAACACTTCAGTGGCAAAGTAGCTATAAGTAAGTAGCTTGAACTGTTAAAAAATCAGCAAAAAAACAGAAAAATATTTGAATTATTTTATTTCTAGATCTTATTCGCTTAATTTAACATTGAAAATATTTATTTATTAAAAAGAATGTGGTCAAGTTCAAAGTGCTGTCATATATGGAGAGATTTGATACTACGGCGAGAGCAGCAAAGACTTTGAGGCGGCCGTACTCTCAAACTATCAATTTTACAAAAAAACGGTATTTTAAAGAATTATAGAAAATTTTATCTTGTTTAATTCGTAGAATAATACTTTTATCGTAGAATAAGCCAAAAAGGAGATATTTTAAAAAAGCTGTTTTTTGACGCTATTTTTCCAATATGGCGGCAACTTGCCGTTCAAATTTGAGGTGGCAAAGTTGATTTTCGTAAAGAGCACCTCGAAATCTATAGGATTACCAATTTTCAGAATTCCCGGAGTACTGTACCGGCAAAACGACCAAATGACTGGACTATTAGTCAAAATTAAAATTCAAAGCTGAATTATTTTCGATACACAAAAAAAATGTTGAAAAAAAAAATAGAAACAATTTTTTTTCTGAAAGCAATTATTTTGTTAAAACAAGCAGTAAGTTCTTCAAATTATTCAAATCGGACGCTTAGTTCTCTCAAAAACTGCCATTTTTTGCAAATTTAGCTTTGTATCTTCGAAATGGCTGGACCTGCTTTTGCCAAAAGCTAATCACCTCTTCTCACAATCATTACAAATTGAATGTTTTTTCTGGATCATTCAAACCGAATAATCCGTTCTCTCAAAAACTCTATTTGTATTTTCTGCACTCTTAGCTCTGTATCTCCGTAACGGCTGGACCTGCCTTTGCCAAAAACTAATCGGCACATCCCCTTATCAATAGGAATTGAACGTTTATTCAACCATTCAAATCGGTTGATCTATGCACCCGAAAACGTAGACGAATAAATGCGGACATACAAAACACACACACATCCATTTTTTCTTAAGGTATGCCAAAATGTTCAGAAATCTTCAAAACGTGAAGATATGCAAAAAATTTCATTTTTAATTTTCGGCCTATTTCTATAACTACCCTACGGGAAGTTAATTAATTTTATACTAAACTACACTTACAACAGTGGTTTTATATGCCCCCTCCCCAAATCATTTTGCACAATATCTTTGAGAATATAAACTTGTCTCTTTCTTGTCTACATTTCTATCAAATATTCATTACACAGTGCCCAAATCGCCCTTTCTTGACTGAAACCGATGGATTAATCCCATGATGAACCTCAAATATCAATCTGAGGGAAAGGGCTCTTAAACAAATTCATATTAATCCTGGAAGAGTGAAAAATATCACGCCCGAGCACCCGAATTCGTAACATCGTAACGTAACGAATGTGCGTATTTTGGTGAAACTGGCAACATTCTCGAACTAACAATAAGACAACAAACACATTTGGGGCAGTTATCGGCGAGTGTAGTGCACGTATTACCGTATTAGGGTGCGCATCGAAGCGTGCGCTCCTTGGGACTCGGGATTTAGTAAGCCGATACGCGACTAGTGTTAGAACAAAATATCGAGTACTGAGTAAATATCGATACTTTGCGGTCGATAGTGAGTACTTTTGCTATCGGTTTTTTAGCTCGATCTATTTGCCAATATCGATTCTTTTCGTCGATAGTACTCAAAAAGAATCGACAGCGTAATCTATGAACACCACTCATTGCCAAATGCAAAGCCTACCACCTAGTCTCTCTAGGTGGTCATAATTGTTCAAAAAAGTGTCAAAAAATGATTCCGAAGGGTCATTAGTCTCAGAATTTATTGCTCAAAGACCCAAAATGAATATGACCACACTATTAAATAAAGATGTTTATTTAATACTCTTATGTAAAATGAAATGGCTTTTTAAAGTACCTTAAATGTTTTATAAAAACACATTCAACAATCGAAGTATGATTATTTCAAATAATAATACTCACCAATTTCAATATATTAGTATTTTACGTAAAAAACAATCGAAATATAATTATTTCAAATAATAATATTCATCAATTTCAATATATTAGTATTTTGCGTTTATTATATTTCGATTCTTTTTTACGCAAAATACTAATATATTGAAATGGATAAGTATTATTATTTGAAATATTCATATTTCGATTCTTTTTTACGCAAAATACTCATGTATTGAAATTTTTGAATATCAACATGCAAACATATGGGTTTGAGTTTCTCGGAACCATTTAAACTTTAAATTCCATCGCTCAGAAGGGATGTTTCTCTACAAGTGTCGAAATATTATCTTGACCGTCATTAAACTGAATGTTTATTGCTTTCCAAAGAGCTTCATATTGCACTTTTATGTAAACATGTAACGGCTTTTTGAAGTTGCATGCTCGCTAAAATTATTCATATAAAAATAGTCAACAATTATCAAATATTATTTTCCTTAAAAATATTATTGTACTTAAAAATACTTAAAAAGTATTGCATTTTTGAATATAGTATCAGACTATTATATTGTTTTAATCAAAAACACTCAACTATTATAACTTTTTTTTATCAAGAAGTATAGAATTCGAAATTAGTATTGAAAAATTACTGTTAGCATTTTACAATATTGAAAATGATTCTGATTTAACACATCAGATACAAGCAATAGAATTCATTCTAATATTGTGATATGATATTTAATGAGTTTTAGATCTTTCTTGCACTTATGTTTGATTTTTATGAAAAGTACTCAAAATTCGATATTGAGTGCTATCGATACTTTCGCCACGATATTTTTTTGGCATCGATATTTTGATTAGATACTTTTTGAAGTACTCAATATCGATCTTTTGCCTCGATACTTCTTACACTATACGCGACAACGCCGTAGAAGCGAACGAGGCGGCAAGACAAAGACGCAGCTCGCAGAGCTATATAGCGTAATCTGATAAAACCTCTTTTTTCCCATGCGATTCCAAATAAGATTTTCTTTTGTTTATATACGATACAAGAGGATTCGACTAACACATGCGACGACAGAAACACAAAACAACTAATACCCCTTAACATTTTAAGACTTACGCATACATGACAGAATTGAAGTACTTATGAAATATTTTCAAAAAGATTTAAATTTGTTTTGTCATACATAAGGGGAGGATTACATAAATACTTGCTGATACATGGATAGCAAAGGATTGTTTGAGCAAGATAATAGTATGAATTTATATTACAGTCCAGTCATTGTGGTAAGTATTTCAATATTTACTGTTACTTTAACAAAAAACAAGTATTTTGAATAAATTATAGAAAGTTTTCTCTAGTTAACTGCCCGTAATGTAAGTTATAGTAATCGTCCAAAAATTTAAAATAAAGATTCTGACATATCTTCACGTTTCAGATGTTTCTGAACATTTTGGCATACCTTAGGAAATATGAATGTATTTTTGTTTATTTACTCTTCATATAAACTTCATCGTCCAATTTATAAGCTCTACAATTACGAGATCTACAGTTACAGTATTAATGATGACATACACCACTAATTTAATTTAGTATATAGCTATTTTGCCATTGAAATGTTCAACAATCAGAAAATAAAAATTAAAATATTATGCTAATAGACCTTTTTCGTGTAATTTAACATTGAAAATATTTACATATTATAAAAAATAGAAAATTTCTTCAAGCTTAATTTGTATGAAGATACTTTTATCGTAAAATAAGTTGAACTAGTGGGGCGCATAGCATCGTGCCTTAAGGCAAATTGCTGGAACTACCCGTACCGTAATTAAATATTCGAGGAATGAAAATAATCAATAATTGTTTTGAAGATTATTATTATATATACATGCTGTAAATTTATAAGTGCTTGGGCGATGAGCGTATTTTATGAACAACTCATGTGTACGTTTACAAGAGTCCATTTTTTTAAATTAAATTTTCTTGATTTTTCAATGTATATTTTCCTACTGTTGAAAACTTCTTAATAATGGTTCGAGTGTAACTCTACATTTGAATTTCATTATCTATTACTTTCTTACTTACTTCTGAATTCTTAATCCGTATGATGATTAAAAAATTATCAAGTTAAATAAAAGTAGAAATTAAAGATAAATCTATCAAACTGCTATTGATTTCACAATATTAAAACATTTAGACAGATGATGCCGAATATATTTTTTGTAAAAATGTTCTGAAAACAAATGACAAACTCGCATTCTGACGTTAAACAAAAACAGTAAAGTAGAAATCAAATCACATTCTAAAATTAATTTATCGGTGAATGTTTTCCGTTAATAATTCAATTAATATACAATGATTCGGTAAGCTCTTAACAAGTATACGATTGACTTTTTAACTCACCTTGTTTGACTATTTCTTACAAATAAAATATTTGTCAACGTTTCAGAGGTAATCAAAGTAAGAACAACATGGTTAAGAAGCCAGAGAGGAAGAAGGCTACTGAAGGCAAAAAGCATAAGCCTGAATGCCTTCCAGCAGGAAAATACTGCCTTATTAGTTTGTGATATGGATACAACTGGACGGAGGTTAATAGATGAACTATGCCATATAGCAGCATACACTCCTACTAGCCAATTTTCCCAGTACATCATGCCTTATGCAAATGTAAACCCAAGTGCCAGGCGAAGACATAATATTCGTGTTACAACTGATGACCGTTTCAGAGTTTTGAGAAGTAATATAAACAATAAGGTTATAAGAACAAAGTCAGAAATATTTGGGTTAATAGATTTTTTGAATTGGCTTAAAGAAGTCAAGTCAAAGTCAGATGGAGCAGGTGTAATTCTCATTTTCCATGAACCCAAGAAAATGGTATCTTACATGCTCTTAGAAGCTCTTCAACGTCATCATTTATTTGAAAACTTTCATGAAATTGTTAAGGTTTTGCAAATGGACATGCATTAGCCGAAGAGAAATGTTCAGCCACCATGAAGTCTTTTAACATTAAAGTTTTATCCAGAGTCTTACTAGATCGAGAAGAACAATTCGATAATGCATCAAATAGAGCAAAAATTATTTGGGATATAGCTCAACATCTGGGTCAAGGTAAACAAAAGAACATAGCAGCTGCTACTGGAGATCCAAATCGCGTAATGTTAGACAACATGGTAGAAGTAGTTCGCCAGTATTCTTATCCTACTTCTGTAGAATTAGGTGAACTGAAAGAACTGCGCAAAGTAGCTGAAAGAAGCAGTTCATTTCAGCCAATATTCAGTGCAGCTGGGAAAATGAATTTTCGGGATATTCAGCGCATAAATGTTTTAAGATCAATATTGGCTGAAGGCAAATCTGATTATAATACCATGAAAAGTACATATGAAGCAGATGGAAAACAAGGCTTAATAAAGGAATTAGCCAAGTTGCAAATTACAAGGAAAGATCAACAACATGATTTATTAGAGATATTGGATTCCCATTTTGATCCAAAACGTACTGCCACTTTCCCCAATACAAAAATGCCAAAAAAACTGAAAATAGGAAATTAAAGAAGACTATTAGCAGTGATGATAGTGAAGCTGTGTCTCTTGACACAACTAGAACAACTTCTCCTTTAAAGAATGCTGCAGATAAAACTGTGAAAACTAATTAATTTGAATGCCGGATAAACTTGATTTTTGATATACATATGTTGATATGTAGTTATGAGTTTGATATACTTCAATAAAACCTATTCAAATAATCATAATTCATATTTTTTAAATTTGATTTAAGAAATCTTAATGTATAACATTATTTTGTTTTTATTTAGAGCTGTAAAGTTTTATGATACATTTTTAGCTCAAAACTTTTTATAAATTCAGTTTTTGTTATATATAGAAGTCATACAAATTATGTTCATATGGATTGTAATTTATCGGTTTGGATTTACTAAATGGGTATTATTGAATAGTATTT